GTCATTGCACGAGAAAAACGCCTGTTTGCCACAGAAGCAAGCTCAATGAATTTTTCAAATTTGACTGTGACTAGTCTCATCTTGTAGAGCATATGCGGGAACCTATAAATCCAAATTTTCATCTTCTTTGGACTTTTAGTCTCACAGACACCCTCAAATCATTTTTATCTCAGGATTTTCAGCTGGAAAACTTTGGTTTTCTAAGGGCCTCGGGCATCAAATTGTTTTGAATTTTTTGCGAGGTCAGCCACCTAGTATGAAGCGAGAGACACATATTCTCTTACTTTCAAGTACGGACTATCCGAATCCGCTTTCAAAAGTTTCGGCCTCACAAAGGATCTCTGGAAAACTCACATGAGTTCTCTAGAAAACCTTTAAATATTTTGAAATTTTTTTTATTGTGTAGTTAGAAAGAGCGGAAAATTTTGAACAAAATGATGTATCGATCATAATTTCTCGGCTCTGTCAAAGGCGAAAATGCGGCGACTCAAAAATCAGATTCTTTTGGAAAACTGTTCTCCTTTGAAAATCTTCTGCGGTCAAACTTTGTTAGTATGAGCCCTGAAATGCTGTGCGATACATCATTTTGTTCAAAATTTTCCGCTCTTTCTAACTACACAATAAAAAAAATTTCAAAATATTTAAAGGTTTTCTAAAGAACCCTTGTGAGTTTTCCAGAGATCCTTTGTGAGGCCCAAACTTTTGAAAGCGGATTCGGATATTCCGTACTTGAAAGTAACAGAATATGTGTCTCTCGCTTCATACTAGGTGGCGGACCTCGCAAAAAATTCAAAACAACTTGATGCCCGAGGCCCTTAGAAAACCAAAGTTTTCCAGCTGAAAATCCTGAGATAAAAATGATTTGAGGGTGTCATAAAAAAACCCACATGGTCGGCTTTTCATAGTGAAAAAATCTCGGTCTCAGAACCTGAGCTAAGCGAGATACAGAATTTTTATTTTTATTTTCCATTTCTTGGATGCTGAATTTTTCGTCGAGAGGTCTTCAGAAAACCGTCTATAACTGTGAGACTAAAAGTCCGGAGAAGATGAAAATTTGGATTTATAGGTTCCCGCATATGCTCTACAAGATGAGACTAGTCACAGTCAAATTTGAAAAATTCATTGAGCTTGCTTCTGTGGCAAACAGGCGTTTTTCTCGTGCAATGACTCCTAGGGCTATCCGACCTCGTGGCGCTTTTTTCAAAGACTACTTTGAAAAGAATCTGAGACATTCATTGAGCATGGCTTGTTGTGGTTCTCGTGCAATGGCTCCTAGAGACAAGCTTTCAAACACGTATTTGAATTCTCTTACAAAAACACTGGATGATTTGCCACACTTAACCAGTGATGAATATATCAAGCTGATAGAAAAGTTATCGCACGAGATAGATAACTATTCAAATGAATCATCAATGGACAGTTCATCGAATTCGGGAAATGTCTCTGTTAGTCGTGATCAATCGAAACAGATGATAAAAATGATACTTGAACAACATGATCTTCTGGTACAAACTATCTGCTCTCAGCACGTCTCTGTCTGTCCTGCTATTGTATCTTCGTCTGAGTCGGCGGTACCGCCACAAACGTCGATTCAAATCTGTTCACAAATGGATAATCGGATTGGGTCTAGTCGTACTCATCTCGCTTCGTCATCCACACCAGTTCAACATAGGAAAACTTTTCCTCGCTCTTCGTCATCCAGTCCTCACAAATCATTCGATCAACCTAACGAAAATGATTCGTCTCTTACTGTTCAACACAATAAATTAGTTAAGGCCCCCCTCCCCCTCAAAAATCGATCTCACGTCAGCCCTGGTCAATACAAATGGGTTGAAATTTGGCGCATATGTTGGGGCTGAAGTGCGAAGGCTGTGATAAAATTTTTAGCTCGATACCTTGACATTTGACAGAGATATGAGCAAAACACTTGTCAAAAATAGGACATCTTATCTTCAAAAAATCTCCATGGCCCTTTTTTGTTTGAAAGCTTGTCTCTATCTCCGATGAATATTTGTGGTTCGAAAGCCTCAGTTAAAGAGTTAAATGATGACATAAATGAATACAACATAAAACTAGCATCTCTAACCACCACTATGGGTGTTGATCTGATATCGATTGACTATGATAAGCGGGATATGATAGCCGGTGATGGACATTATTTAAGTGATTCAGGTACCTTCAAACTAAGTAGTTCGCTGGACGAATACTTAAAGAATTGTCTTTAGTCTTGTTGTACCCAGTAGCGATAGTTCTTGCTCTGCTTTGCCTCTGTGTGATCTCTCTTTTCTCTCGTATCAATGCTTTCTCTAGCAATTTGCCACACATTTCGGCTGTGATAGCTAACGTTAATCCATTAGCGTCTGTTTGGTAATCTAAAACTACTTTATCTCGTTCTTCCTCTTTTACTATTTTGAATCATAACATTCAAAGTATTCTTGCCAACTTATAACGCTACTTCAGCAAACTATACTATCTGCTAAACCTCACACAATATGTATGCAGGAGACTTTTTTATCACCAGAGATATCAGATTTAGAATGCTGCCTACCTGGGAACTCTATTTTCAGACGTGATCGTATACGCTTGATCAGGTTTTGTCCATACTTGCTCTATGGAGCAATATTTCGTAACAGCGCCCGGAAAAAACAAACAAGACATATAAATAACGTAACAATCTTCGTTTTGTTATGGCATTTTCTAATCACTTCCTTTTTCACGACACACACACAACATGGCTATGGTTTTTCTACTGGTCTTCATATAAGTTACTGATGTATAAGTTACTGGGTGGGGGTGTCCGATCGTGCCAGCCCCGTAGTCTCCGACAATAATATCGAGGTAACTGTCCCCATTGACATCGGCTGCTGCCAAACCCCACGGTTCATTATCAGTTATATAGGGTGTAGGAGCAGCAAGCGTGCCGTTTCCTTTATTGAGATAAACATCAAGAGTGTTTCCGCCGTTATTTGCAACAATAATGTCTGGTTTTTTGTCACCATTGACATCTGCTGCAATCAGTGTTTGGGTAATTACCACTTGGATAGCTCGTTTCACTGGTAAATGTGCCGTCGCCTGTATTGAAGAGAACGCTAATCTGGCGTTTGTGACAACAATGTCGGTTTTCTTGTCGCCATTGAAATCGGCTGTGTTGACATAGGTCGGGAGAGAACCAGTTGCATGGGTTGTTTGAGGAAGACACGTACCAGTGCCTGTGTTGACAGGAACACCAAGAGTGGGAACAACGTTACTGAGCCCAATTTTTGATTTAGGCGGTCATTCTTTTACATTGTTAAAAGTTATACGCCAGTTTTTGCTCTTTATAGGTGAAATCCTTCGAAAAATAAAACCAAGAAAAAACTCAAAAATTGGAGAGGGTGCGGCCTTCGGAACCCGTCCATAAACTTAGCTTTTGCCGTCTTCGCGAACAGTAG